GAGTTTAAATTACATATGCTCTGAGGAAGACCAGAGCAATCTTGCGTCATTGAGTCTTTTTCCCTATTTTTTTTTCGTTCGTTTTTGGGGGGAGTTTGTTGTTTTCTTCTCGGATTGTGTAATTCCAACTGAATCCGTTTCCTTTCATTATAATGTTTCTTGTCTCATTGCATCATCGACGCGATGATTACCTCGGACAGAGTTAATGGACGACTTCCTGGATTTTTTAAAAATCAATTAGCATTCAATAGTATCCAAATCCAAAAAACAAAATAACATTTAAATTAACATATCTTTGCCTCCGAAAATCTCTAAAAATTAATTAACGTGAATTAATAAGATATTCTAATTTAAAAATAATACAATAGCATGTCTACATTAATACATTAATTAAAATAAAGCAATATTTCATATTAAAAAAAGTTTATAAAAAAATCTCAATGTCAATATTTTTGGTTTATATAAACTCAGCTTTATATACTACGGTAATCTATTATCAACAACAGCCTTTCAATAAATAAAGATATGATCTACTTAATTAGTATTAGTATGTAGTAATATTCTATATATGGTATAATTAATAATATAAAATATGACAATAATTCCAAACAAAACAAAAGCCACTTAACAAATTATAGGAAAAAAAAAATCAATTACACAAGGTTCGTAATTCAATGTGTTTAAATAGATTTCATTATGCATATTTTTTTTTGTATAATTTATGCTGATTGTTTATTGTAATGGCATTTCGCATAATTATATACAATTTAATTTTTTGCGAAGTAATTATAGATTTTGTGTAAAATTAAAAAAAAGTATTAATAATAATATATAATGTCACGAACAGAAATTTGTCATCTTTTGAATGGATTGGATGTAGCATCCAAAGAGGCCAACATAACTCATAATTTCTTTTTCACGTCGCGCCGTTACCATGTACTTACTTTCTTTGCAAAATCCCAGAAAATAATTCTGTCGAGGAGTGTATTTAAAACCATGTTCATTTGACATTAAAAATGCTGCTTACATCTATGTCGAGAATGGTTCGAGGATCCACCAGAAGTCGTGACGTTGTTTGCTATTGACCTCATCCTCTATCTTCGAGATAAAGCAATAAACTCTACGACTGTGAGACTCCCATCGTTATATAAATATAATACATGATTCCTGAAGCAGATCTTTGTTATATTAAACTATTTACAGTTTGATTGCATTTGTTGAATTTGTAAATATTATGTAGATTCGAGTATTCATACAAGTACATACTTCTTTTTTACTACAATACTCATAAGGTTATTGAATGAAAATTGTATTTGTTGGAGTTTTTTTTCGAATCAAATTATTGAGTCATTTGGATCAAAGTAGACTTAAGTACGCTTGCTTAATCACCTAAATAATAATCGAGTATATACTTAAACAATGAATTATTGTAACAAAGTAAATATAAAAAAATCTTAACAATTGTAATCTTATTAAAAAGCTATTTGTAGTTTGAGTAAATATTATGAAGATTTGAGTATTTATAGCAATGCATAATACAAACTACAAATCTCATAATATTATTGAATGAATATTAAATTAGTTTGAGTTTTTTCCTCATTATTTCCAGTAATTTGGATCAAAGTAGACTGGAGTACGCATGTAGTTAGTCACCTAACTGATAATAGAGTATACATTTAAACAATGGTTTGTTTTAACAAAGTAAATAACAACAAACAGAAATTCACACCTAACAATTGTAAGCTTGGTTCTTGTGCATTTTCAATTAGTCCATTGCTTTTGTTGAAAATTTCGTCCCACGCCTGAGATCCGCAAAGCGAGGCACACCAAACGTTCTAAGTAAGGTCGAACCTCGTATTTGTTATTTCTACGATTTAAATTTATACCATTACGTACGGTTCAAACTTACAAACTCGAAGGTTACGTCTGTATGTTTGAAATTAATTTTATAAATTTTATTTACTTCGTAATTATCTACTTCCGAGAACAATTGTGTACGTTGAAGAACATTGATTTTAATTTATGATTAAACTACCCGGCAAGAATTTAAAGACCTTTGATATTTCAAAAGTCGAGAGAGTGAGAGAAGGAAGAACGAAAGAGCGAAACATTCCGAGAGAACAATGACGTGCTTGCCTTTTGTGTTGTTAACAGACGGAAAACAGAAACGTTTGTTTGGAATCGGTCTCGAAATTGTACGCGGTCTTGTTACTGTTTAAAAAAATATTAGTAAACTATCTTATTCATTAACAATGAGTAATTGAAGACATTGATGCTTCTTGCACTTGGAAGTGTAAGTTCTGGTTTCCTGTGGGTTTCGGATGATATCAGCGAAATTCAACAAATAACAACAATAATACTGAAGCGATAATGATATGAGTAATGCAGTATAAAGTTATTAATAAATGCGAGTGAGATTGTGGAGGAGGAAAACGAAAGAGAAGAAGTTTCGCGTTGAAGTTGTTCGCGCATGTTCCGGAGAGTTATTCCGGAGTCGCCGGAGTATCGAAGCCGCATTTGCGCTTGGTAGATCGTGTCGCTAGTACCATCAGAAGGATTCAAACAGAAAAACTTTTACGAAAGACCGAAATTGTGCGTGCTTCTAGTTCACTTTTCTACCTTCGAAAATACAAACCCATGACTCATAACTGACCCATGCGGAACACCCTTCGACGTGAAAGCTAGCTTCGAGTGCGGTGCTTCATTTCCAAACTATGGATTAACCCTACACACATCCCAAGAATCAAAGAACAGGCCAAGTAAGTTTGCGCAACGAAAACTCGTTTCTTTTTTTTCTTATTACCATTCCTCCGCCTCTTCTTCCACTTTTTTCGGCACGACCGGTCAAATGCACCATCGAAGATGTACAAGCGGTCAGCGACCTTTATCGGACCTTTAAATCATGCATTATTATTTTTTTACAATCTGTTGATGGCAAATGACGCACGCGGTAACAAGTTTATTGATTCCTAGTTGCAACCTCGAAATAATTGCGCGCCTGTTGTATGCTTAATGCAACAGAAAATTGGTTTTTAATTCAATTTTGCGGGTAGGAAGGAATCTACCTGCTGCACGAATTCCTCAAAGATGACTCGTTCCCATCAAGGGTACAAGAATTCAATCCCTTTAGGGATCTGTGCTCGGAATGCTAACGTCGGCAATTAGCATTATTTTTCTTTCAATTCAGTAAGATCAACGCTGGTATAAGAATGGGACCTACGTGTTGAGGATGCCGATGTTGTTGTTTTTCTATATTCTCTTTTCACCATTAATAATGTAATGAGTTTGTTATTGCGAGGAAAAGTAGGTTTTGGAGGCGGAAATTCAATGGGAATTTTATATGGGTATTAACATTTTGATTGTTTTCTGCTATGCTCAGTTCCAATTGTTGCTTATCGAAAAGAATGCACGTGATAACTCTGGTAGTTTCTCACAGAAAACGGGTCTTTATCGCCAATATCATTGTCACGTAAAACCCATAAGGTATCTTCTCTCTAACGGCTTTAATCAAGCGCCAAATTTGCTTAGTTTCCATCGCAATTTAATAATTTCCCTAACGGAAACACAAACCAAACATATAATTTCATTTAAAATTACCATTAATTACAATTCCTTCAATTACAAACAAATTACAACTAAATTCAACGAATATAAATAAAAGAAAAGAACAAAAAAAAATATTATTTTCACCTGCATTAAAATATTTGGAATACACTGTTTATGCTTTCAACATAGTTATTTACATTATTTTTTTGTACAGAAATGCTAATCTCGAAAATAAAATGTAAGTTTGTACATATTTCGAAATGTAATAATTCAAAATACAATGCGAATTTGTGTCACGTACGATCCGTGCTCTATCATGTTTTTCATGAAACTGCTGGAATACTTAATACAAACGTAAGAAGTAGGTTCGGCCAAAAATAATAAGTCGAAAAAAATAATTTTATAATAAAGTAATAAAAAAATTTCATACGTCTTGTCTTGTACATTATTTTCATTATAAAATTTAATACCGGAATGTTAGCAAAGTTATAATTTACTCAATTAACGCATGATTAAATTAAAAATTATTAATCAAGTTTATTTTTTACACGATATTCAATAATAAAGAGGTAAACCCCCTTTACTTTAAGTTTTATTATCGGAAATTGTAATTTTCTATACTCAATATGATTAAAATGAAAATTATTAATCTTTTATTATTTCATTTCTCTCAATAAAAAGCCACAACATTATGAATAATATTTTTAATCATGTTTAAACTATTTGCCTACGGGCTACAAATATTGTGTATTGAGTTGAAGTATTGAGTTATATGAGTTTATTTCGTAATAAGTTTGTACAAAATTTATTGCTTCATATTTTTTAAATACATTGTTATAATTATATATATTTTATATTAAACTATTGAGAAAACGTTAATTGTACTGAATGAAAGTACTTTTAAGTAGAATGAAAAAGATTGTAACCAAAATTGGGGCAACTAATAAAAATGAATGATATTTATATAATTGGATATATTCTAATTTTATTCCTAATAAAATATGCATGGTTTAATTGCGATACTTTATAATTATGAATGAATTAAAATGATCATTATTTTCCATTGATAATAATGAAATACGAATGACTTGTAAGTTTTGCACCATTCATTCGAATTGGTGAATCGAATAATTAGCGTATGAATATATATTCGCCACTACTGTTATTCATATTCAGTAGTTATAACGTTCGCTAAAGTTATGATTTATGGTAATACATTCACCAGTTCGAATGTACAGGGTGCTACAGATTTATAGAACATCTCGATAAAACGAAATCACATTCCTCAAAACAGAGTATAATATTTCATATCATTTCTCTGTAAATGAAACATTCAATAAATGTATTTATTGAAAGCGCTCAAAGTTCTTTCACGTAGATATCTTTATTATCGCTGTTTGGCTTTCATATTTCGACACATTCGCTTGCATTGAAACATTTTATAAAAGCACTTTAAACACAATCGGCTCATATTCATCAAAAGGTCGTAAATTCCCTCCAGTTTTGTACTGAACATATCGTGTTTTTTTATATACTTTTTTTTTCAATTCTTCAACCGTCATGTCATAGTTATTTCGTAAGCTGGCTGTGGAAAAAGGTTACGGGCCTATGACAAGGGTAATATTATACAAAAGCTGGAAGAAAGAAATAAAGATAGAGGTTAACTCAAAGTCGTGGCAAGCGACGAGCATTCGTATAAGCTATTCCGACCAAGTATTCAGGAAATTCCAATAATTCAAACGCTTTTTACTTGTTTTCTTGAATATCTGTTTATCGTGGTTTACTGTCATTGACGTTTTTATTGTTATTCGACTTGGAAGGTCGTAATGTCAATTAAATAACGTGTAAGAAACTTGACAATCCAAAGTCGCAGTTGAACATAATTTTGAAATTTTTATTGATATTATTGTAAATTCGAGAAAAATAAGAAATAAATAAGAAATATTCAAAATATTATTTGAATATTTTAATTATTACTCTATCATATAAATAATATTTACAGAAATTATAATAAGTATATTTAGTAATTATGAATAGAATATTAATCATTCAGATAAAGTTGTGAACATGACGCTTCAGTTTCGTATTCACATTCGTATATGTGAAAAGATGAAACTAAAAAAGAAGCATATATGGAAAATTATTTTCAAAGTTGTCTGCGCAAAAGTTTCAGCAGCTCTGGTATTTGTGCTGTGAGCGATTACACGAAAGGGGCAAAGTTCCATTAATATGTAAATCTAACTGAGATTTCATTTCAAAACAAAAAAAACAACAAGATACTTTCGAAGAAGTCCAAATCCCGTTGAAAACGACGCGAATTCCCAGAATCTACGCAGAGCCTAGTGCTCGTTGTTAACTCAATTAATGATTTCTTTTATATGCATCTTTTGTATAATAAACAAATAAAAATTGGATGAGATTTCTATCTGCCTGCGGTTATGGCCGGTGATTTTACGGCTCAAACGCCGGAAACCTGAGCATCGATGCAATACTTGCTGGTATAATATATTAAGCGTGCTTGAACTAAATTATTAAATAAATTTTTAATGAGTGCTCTCTGATGAAATTCTTTTTTCCTAATGAGCGTTACTTCATCGCAGCAGGAAAAAGATCTTGGAAATCGTGGTGAAATCAAGTTAAATGTTGTCATTCTCGTTTCCTGCTTCCGAATTTGGTATATTTGCAAATTTCAAAGTATTCAAATATTGTTCACGATTAAATTTGCAGAATTCTTACTGCATTCGAATCTTATAAAAAACAAGGTCTTGAGAAAATTTGAATAAAAAGCAGTATAGTTTATAAATGAATCAAATCGAATATATTTGGTATATTGTAATGAATTTGCAATTAATTTATTTCGTTATTTTGTTTTCGATATTTCGCCAGTTTCGCAATTCGCTTTTGATTTATGAGGCACCAATGTCGATATGTACAAGTCAATCTTCTGGCAAACATCGTGTTATCAGTGAAAACATAACAAATTACTTTCATTACTCACAACGCTACTTCACAAGTTACTTGTCAAGTATGGCACAATGTGTAGTCGCATTTACATTACACATATACAGAATGAAAAGTGGAGTGTCATGTTTCCTTAAAAAAAACTTAAATTTCCTACATATGTTTTATGAACAAATAGTAACACTCGTTGAATAACATATTGCTTACAATTTAAAAAAATAATAAGTGATTCAAACCTTAAGACGTGCGCGTCCTGAATGAACGAAACCGATTTGCATTCGTTAGTAATGGCAATTTTCCGAGTAACAAAAAAATGAATCACTCCTCATCTCAAGGTTGTTACATAACAATTATCCTCGTGTTTCAGCTAAAATCTTTAATGCACTTTTTGTTGCGTCACACTTGCATGAGACACCGATAATAATTATTTAAGTAAGTAAATATTACTTAAGCATCTTAATTGACTAAAAAATAAGTAGTTTCTTTTTACATATTTACAAAAATTATAATTAATTTGGTAATTCAAATAGATGTTTTCAGGAAGTTACCATAATTGATTATCAATAATCGTCATGCTTCTATTTAAATCGATGATACACTTTTTGCATCAAGTAGTGAGATAACTAGAAACGCTTTTTAAGGAAATACGCTCGTTATATAAATAGCTTATTCGCTTAGAAACAACTTCGAATAAAGCAGTTTGGCCAAGTGACTTAGAAGATTATCATTAATTTAGCAATTCAAATCAAATTCATTAATGTTTTTAGAAAGTTTGTCCAAACGGATTATCCTCGTACTTCCATTAAAATATTTAATGCACTTTTTGTATCAAATTATGAAATGAACTGAAAACATTAATTAAGGAAATAAACATTACATAAGTAGTTTAGAAGTAATTTTAATAAACATATATTATTTGAGGTAAAGTGTCAAATTGTCGTCAAATCAAATTCACTGATTATTTTAGAAAGTTTATCTAACGGATTAGCTTTGCACCATTTTTCTGTTCGCAATTGCAGGAAGAAACCGTACAAAATTTAATTTACATGGGAATACCTTTAATCTTAGATTATACTTTGTAAGTTTAAATGGATTAAACTAAATGTCCAACGTGTTCAACCGTTGATAGAATGAGGTAATTGAAGCAGAATGAAATGTAATATAATTCTCGATTAGTTTTCGCATTTTAGCTAAATATAGTGTAAAGCTTTAATTAACATTGAAAATGATAAACAAGTTTGCGAAACGACGC